CTCTTTGGTGTCAATTGTTGTAGCAACCTTAGTGGTGGTTTACTATGTAAGAAGGAAGAAGTATGAAGAAGTTCTTGAAGATTGGGAACGTGAGTATAGACCGCAAAGGTTCAGTTATAAAGATTTGTACACTGCTACTAAAGGATTCAGAGAAAAGGAGCTGTTGGGAGCTGGAGGATTTGGTAAAGTTTATAAAGGAGTGATGCCTGTAACCAAACTTGAGATAGCTGTAAAGAAGATATCTCAAGAATCAAGACAAGGGATGAAGGAATTTGTTTCGGAGATTGTAAGTATAGGCCGTATACAACATAGGAATGTAGTACCACTTTTGGGCTATTGTAGGAGAAAACGGGAATTACTTTTGGTTTATGAATTCATGTCTAATGGAAGTCTAGACAAGTATTTATACGACCAACCAAGACTCACCCTCGATTGGAACCAAAGATTCAGAGTTATTCGAGGTGTAGCATCAGGACTTTTTTTCCTACATGAAGAATGTGACCATGTAGTGGTTCATAGGGATATTAAGGCTAGTAATGTCTTGTTGGATGGTGAACTAAATGGCAGGCTAGGAGACTTTGGACTCGCGAGGCTGTATGGTCATGGGACCGATCCTCAGTCTACTCGTGTCGTTGGTACTCTTGGTTACCTTGCACCAGAGCATACTAGAACTGGCAGGGCAACACCTAGTAGTGATGTATTTTCATTTGGGGCATTTCTGCTTGAAGTTGCATGTGGTAGGAGGCCGATACAGCCAAGACAAGACGGTGATGATCTGATTTTGGTCGATTGGGTGTTCTCGTGCTGGAATAGGGGTAATATACTTGATGCTGCTGATCCAAACATAGGCATTGATTTTGTTCCAGGGCAAGTGGAGTTGGTCTTAAAGCTAGGCTTGTTCTGTTCTCATTCAGACCCCTCGTGTAGGCCAACCATGCGACAAATCTTGTTGTTCTTGGATGGTGTTGTGGCCTTACCAGAGTTATCAGAACTCGGTGTTTCATCAGCTAGCCTAACATTTGAACATCGCGGAGGTTTTGATGATTTTGTCAAGTCGTATCCATCTTCTTTGGGCCATGCATATTCCGGCTCTCCATCTGTAACAGACTCCTTTCTCTCTGGTGGCCGTTGATTCGTGATGGTTACTAATGTATTGAGCCTGGTAAATATAATCTTGTTTTGGTGGATTATGTATTGATAAATTAGAGTAACTTATGATGGAATACTATACACCATTTTATGTAGAATTAATCTATGCATGAAGCGTGTAATAGAACAGTTCATAACATTAAAATGATTCAGGCTTTGATAGTACAGTTTACAATGGAACAATATACAGAGATAAGTACTTTCCTGCTTAAGAAAATACTTATTTTTCTTTCATTGTTAAGTTTTCACCTATCCAATCAATAATTGTTTATGACTGACTCGTCATTAACTCGGTTTTTGGGTCATAATCATTATATAGGAGAGATGACCGAGTGGTTTAAGTCGTAGCATTGATTCATAGGAATCAAGTCATTCATTGGTCTCTTTCCCAATTCCTTGTGATGAAGGGCTCTATAATTGCCTTCCTCAGCTGTTGGATGCTTAATGATTTCATGACTTTACATGTTGACAATGACAAACTGCAACCACAAAGCACTCTTTGACTGTTATTACCTAGTTTTCTATCTCATTCCGATGGGGGATTCGCCTAAGCTATCATATATAGCCCCCCTTCTTTAGAAGTTTGCCTGCCTACGAGTCCTTTTTGACCAGCCCTAGTCTGGTCAAGTACGTTGAAATTCTTTTTGATATGGGTGGCAGTGTGATTCGGTCTCAGGACCTCTGTCTGCTCTGATATCATGTTGAAGTATGTGATCATCTTATCTAAAAATTTAAGTTGTTAGAGAGAGCACATTTTTATTAATTAATTGAATTCTCAGCGGACATCACCCTCACCACAGTTCTTTTATATACATCCACACGCATAAAATGCACCTATATGCAAAATTCCTACTGTTAATTAGGTTTTAGTGCTTCATCGTACAATCATTTTGCAAGAGGATCCTGAATAAGAAGTGGAAAAAATGTCAAATTTAGATACCAAAGCTAGTAATTTTTTGTTGAATTTGCTGTGAAGGGAAATTTTTTTTGTAGGAAAATGTTGGTACAATTTATTATGAGTAAGTTGAATAGTAAAATTTTGGTGGCTAATCTTACGTATTTTAAGTTCTTTAAGTAGGACACAAAGAAAGTATATTTTAGTGGTAATTGTGTCTAGGGTCCGCCTCAAAACGAACATTTTTTGGGCACCACAAATTAAAAGGGACCCTCTCTAAATATATGAATCAACATAGACATTTCGCCCACAAATGAGCAAACTATCCAAAACAACGTTAACTCCATCTATTCCACTTCAAAATACAACTCAAATGTTTTAAGGGAGCTCGCTCATAAATAGACGACTATAATTTTTTGAATTAGCTTTTTACTAGCTTTCATGTGAAAGAATATCTTATTTTCAACAATAAATATATGTTCTTATTCACTTCACATTTTCTCAATCTTTTATCTTCTTCTACTAATATTATATTTTGATATTTGAAAATTAATAGTCGTGTTTCAACAATCCATGTACGTAAATGTGAAGAGTATTGTAAAATGAAATTATCGTTGACTTCAAAAAACTCTAGTCGTAAGTTTTGGAGTTATGCACGTTCAAAGGTAAAAAAAAAATTAAATTGTTACATGAGTACTGTAGTGGATTTCCTTTTTCACGAAACCCTCCGTGGGGAATTAGGGGAGCGGTATGTACAATATCACCATTTTTACATAAATTTTGGGCATATAGGAGGCAATTTACAGGAATTAGGTGATTTTCTTAGTTTTTAGTGTGTGTTTGCCCATTAATAATAGGTGATATGACTTTCAGAGGATTTTCTTACAAAACCTTCACGGAACCCTTCGTAGGGAGTTGGGGAATGGCACGTACAATCTAACCATTTTTACGTGATTTTTAGACATTTAGGAGTCAATTTATAGGAATTAGGCGATTTTCTAAGTTTTTCGTGTGTGGTAGCTAATGAACATTGTGGTGATATGGCTTCCGAAGAATCTTTTTTGCAAAACCTTCACAGAACTCTCTACAGGGAGTAGGGGGAGCGATGCGTACAGTGTCACCATTTTTTACGTGATTTTTAGACATTTAGGGGCAATTTACAGGAATTATGCGATTTTCCTCTTATTTCGTGTGTGTTAGACCATGAATATTGTGCTGATATGACTTCTAGAGGATTTTTATGCAAAACTTCACGGAACCCTCAGTTGGGGAAGCGGTACATACAACCTCACCATTTTTACGTGATTTTTGGGCATTTTATGGTCAATTTACAAGAATTTTGGCAATTTTCTTAGCTTTTCATGTGTGTTGGTCCATGATTATTGTGGTGTTATGGTTTATTGAATATTTTTTGCAAAACATTCCCGAAACCCTCTGTAGGAAATTGGGGAAGTGGTACGTACATTCTCACCATTTTTATGTGATTTTTGGGCATTTAGTGGGCAATTTACAGGAAATAGTCGATTTTCTTAGTTTGTTGTGCGTGTTAGTTTATGAATATTGTGGTAATATGGCTTCTGGGGGATTTTTTCGGAAAATTTTTACGGTACCCATTGTAGGGAGTTGGGGAGAGCCGTAAGTGCAGTCTCACCATTTTTTTCGTATTTTTTAGGCATTTATGGACCAACTTACAGGAATTAAGCGATTTTTCTCAATTTTTCATGTGTGTTACAATTACTTGGTCTATTGCGTCAAACCGTCAATATGCAACTTCACATTTGCCACAATACTTCAAAACTATAGACGTATCTTATAATTATGTTGAAGACTTAGAACTCTTGACCATATATTTTAGGATTCCTTAATTTTAAAATAGGGAAAAGGCTCAAATATGTCATCGAACTTTCAGAAAAGGCTCATTTATGCCATCCGTTAAAAGTTTGGCTTATCTATGCCAGTACCGTTTAAGAAAAGGCTCGTTCATGCCATTATTTTTTAACAGTGATTTTGCAAAACCATTTTCTACACGTGGCCAATTATAATTCGGCCACGTCATTATCAAAATTCTGAATTAAAATAACCCACCCAAATTTTAAAAAATCCCCAAACAGTTAACATTCACCCCAGCTCAGGAGCTTCCTAGATGGGTTGTCTACCATGAGCTAGTCTTGACGAGTAAGGAGTACATGCTGCAGGTTACTGAACTGAAACCGGAATGGCTTGTAGAAATAGCTCCTCACTACTAACAGTTGAAAGATGTAATAATTAACGGCTGTAATTCTCTATATATGCCTCATTCTATGCATAATGCTGCACGCAATAAGACTAATCTTCGATCTCCATATCCTCCTATTGTCCTCGGTGAACTGTAGGTCTAATTCATTAGAACTCAGATTCAACTATAATTAATAAGAAGATGTGATAATTGAAATGATCAACACCCTTTTAAGCAAATTCTTATGTTTTCTTCACTGTGGTCCTAATTAACATAATTTCTTGGTTGTGAATTGTGATAGTGACTAGTAGTAGAAGAACGAATAGTCAAATTTTGTGGGTATGTACTATTCTTCATTTACACTATATGGCCTGGAAAATTTTCTTTTGTTAGCAGCTGTGTAGAAAGAATATAATATGTGATTATTTTCCACACCAATTAAGACATGTATGGACAAATTTATGCAAGTTAAGTCAAAATTTTCTTCGACGAAGAAAGTGTCTTATAAGATAATAACTATTAGTTGAGTGACTATTTGAGAAATGAATCAACTCGACTTTTCTCATAGTCTTCTTTCCAATTCAAGAAACAAAACTGGTTCATAAGCTTAAAGGATTAAAGAAAAGAAAATATTCACTCCAAGATGCCTAAATGAACCAAGTATACAACCTTAGGTGGAAGAAATATAGCTTATATAACAAGTTTTATTTTTACTAGGAATATATTAAAATTTCGCCCGAGTCATCGACCACCAGAGAGAAGGGAGTCAGTAACAGAAGAAGACCATGACATTGCAGAATGATCAAAGCCTGCAAAAGTTAAGCTAATATTTGAAGTTTGCATCAGTGATAACTCTGGCAAAGGCAGGGCATTTTCCAAGTACATCAACACTTGCCTCATATTTGGCCTAGCTGCTGGTTCTGTCTGAGAGCACAATAGTCCAAGTTTTAGTACCAACTCAATCTCTTCTTTTACATAGTTATTGCCCAAGTTTGGATCAATGGCTTCAAGAATATCACCTCTAGTCCAACAAGAGAATACATAGTCAACCAAAACGAGGTCCTCATCTGATACCCTTTGATCTATTGGCCTTCTCCCACAAGCCACCTCAAGTAAAAATGCTCCAAATGAATATACATCAGTGCTAGTTGTGGCTTTGCCTGTTCTTGTATGCTCTGGGGCAAGGTATCCGATAGTTCCAACAATATGCGTAGTCTGAGGATCTGTCCCATGATCATACAATCTTGCTAGCCCAAAATCTCCTAATCTTCCATTTAATTCAACATCTAACAACACGTTACTCGCTTTTATATCTCTATGAATCACTACTTGTTCCCACTCTTCATGAAGATAGACTAGTCCTGATGCTACGCCTTTGATGACTCGAAATCTTTGGTTCCAATCAAGAGTGCAGCTTGGTTTGTCAAACAAATACTTGTCTAGGCTTCCGTTAGGCATGCATTCGTAAACCAGAAGTAACTCTCCTTTACGCCTGCAATAACCCAAAAGTGGTACTAAATTCCTGTGACGTAGCCGGCCAATACTAACAATTTCTGAAACAAATTCCCTCATCCCTTGTCTTGATTCATGAGAGACCCTCTTGACTGCTATCTGAATGTTGGATATGGGCAATACCCCTCTGTAGACTCTACCAAATCCGCCGGATCCCAACAAATCCTTGCTGCTAAAGCCCTTTGTGGCAGTGTACAAATCCTTGTACTTGAACCTGTGTGGTCCATAATCAAGCTCCCACTCTTCTTGCAATTCAGCAAACTTCATCTTCTTTCCTATGTAATAAATTATTACCAGGACTACAATCACAAATGAAACTGAAGAAATCACGGGCAAGCCAAGCAATAAAAGCTTGGATTCTTTCTTAGGTACTACTCGAGGAAGCTTAGGAAGTTGAGAGAGATCAAGTCCTTGAGCCATTCCATTCGATTTGAAGCTCCATCCAAGGATATAATGTGTTGAAACAACTGCACCGGTGGATGCTGAGAAGCCAACAGACACGTTTTCATCCGTGACAGATGAAAGATCGTAGACTAAGGACAGGAGAGGACGGTCTGGTTTTGCAACGTGCAGTGGAGCTATTGTGACATTCATATGCTTATCCACAGAATCATATTCCACCCAAACTTGCATTGGCTGGCCACTAGCTAGAGTTAAGTTATTGAAGGATTGCTCATTACTGTTATAATAACCGGCCGGCTTGGCTATTACAGATTTTAGGCCATTGATGTCAATGCCAACATGGTTGCTGTCAATATCATCAAACTCACGGTTCTGTAGCGTGTCAAATTCCACCGCAACAACATGGCTGGTGGCATTTCCATTACTAGAATCATTAAACAAGCCAAGATAAGAGCTTGGAAGTGCTTCTGGAAGCCTTCTAGCTGGTGCAATCACAAAAGACATGCCATGACCAGCTAAAATCGAGTACTCAGGCACTATGGCAAAGACAAATGTGGTTGAGAAAGAGAAATCTGAACCATTAGATGCTAAATTCATGAAATTGATAGGTCTAGGATAAAAAGCATGACCCTCCTGCAATTGAGAAGCATTTGTTAGCCTTAACAAACCATCTGATGTGAACTCTGCTATTCCATCAAGACTCAAGTTTGTTGAGTGGAACCCGTTGTAGGTGAAGTCGAGATCTTCTGCAGCTGCATAGCCTAATGGAGCATGAAAAAGCAAACCAAGAAACTGAAAAATCATGGCTAAAAACAATTTCTCCATGTCTGCTCAGAACTCTCCTGGGATTAGTGCTGATAATAATCACAAATATGACTATCTATCTCCTAATGCTCAAGTCTACAATGTAAACTCTGTAATGTCATTTTCTTGAGGCCAGCCAAACATCAATATGTATACATGACAAATAATCACACAATATAGTCAAATCTAGTAGGCATGTATTTGACATTTTGTTATCATCAATTGTCACACATTGCCTCAAATTTGTGGCATTTAATAACAACCCCTCATCTTCTTAGGTCATTCTTATAGGGTCAGCTGTATCAAAGGGTATAATAGCTCTGCTTAGATACATGTTGTCGTTGACCTACAACAACATGTAACTCGACATCAAGCCTCGTATGGTACCAATATAGCTAGCGTAAGTATATACAACTTACAATAATTGTGGATTATTCTGAATGCAAGGAATAGTAAGATAATTTGAAAGGAAGGTTATAAGTATATTAATTCTCATTATTCATTGCAAATCAATAAGAGTTATGAATTTACAAAAAATCCTTGACTCTCTCTCACACACATAATCAAATAAAAAAAAAATGGAAGGTACAAAAATTGCACAAAATTAAATTCTCAACATTTGGGAAGATCCATTGGTGGAGGAGGCAACTTTTGATTTGGAAGTTTTCCATTTTGAACCAACCAAGCCATTTTCAATCCCCAACTTGTATGAACTTCCAAGTGACAATGCATAAACCACACTCCTAGTAACAAACAACAAACATACATACATACATCATTATTCGTAGAGTTAGAAATTTTAACCAGATATATAATACTTCGAATGATATTTGAATGCAAATTCTTATAAAGTTACCTGGATTATCCGCGAGAAATCGAATAGCAACCCAACCACCAGAAGGAACACCCACAGTGTTCCTTTCAATAGGATCAACAAGGTTAAAATTTGAAGGATCCTTATTAGGGTCAAAATTTCCAAATCCTTGTCCAACAACAAAGAAATTGAATCCATGGAGATGAAGAGGATGACTTTCAAGACCAAGAATGCTTGTATCTTGCATTACTAACTCCACACTTGTGTTAAATGGCAAAACCATAAGTTTTGTGTCATTATGAACAAGAGTGTTATTTGGAGGATTTCCAGTGTAATTAAACCAATTTAAAGGACTATAAGGAAAATCAGGTTTGTATACACCTTTGGATTGTCCAAAGAAATGAGATTGAAGAAGAGCAGTTGTAGGTAATATAAATGACACATTATTGATTGAAGCTGAGAATTTTGTACCATTAGGTCCTTGACATGTTTTGTTTTGATCACAAGGACTTGTTCCAAGACCTACTGTGAAAAACAAACGTTTATCGACGTTTTGAGGTACATTAGCAGGGAATTGAGGACTCGCAAGACTTCTTAATCTACTAGTAAAATTGGTGACAAAATTTGTGTCATTCAGAGCTGGTAGTAAAGGCAAGGCTTAAAGAGCGGTAGATTTTTCAAATGGAGTTTTGTTTTTGATTCATACTCTAAAATTCCAGCAACTGTAGAGTTGTCAAATGTACCAGAACCTGTCACATAAGGTCGAGCAATCATGTAAAATGTGGCATTAGGAAAATGAGGCTTAGTTTTGAGAAGAACATTATGTGTTTGCCCTGGTGTAATAATAAGTGTATTTGTCTCAAATGGTTTAACGTAAACTCCATCAGCATCGATAATTTGGAGAGTATGATTTGCAATACTGAAGAAAAGCTCATCATTAAGTGCAGCGTTGATCAATCGAAGAAGATATGTCTTTCCAGGCTTCACCTTTAGTTTAAAAGTATCTGTATAAAAAACATATCTAAAAGTGTTAATATCATATTCTAGTGCACTAACATTATATGGAAAGCAAAATAATTGTTTTATTACCTTTTGTGGAGCAGTTATATAAAGGTCCAGGAAGTCCATTGATAGTATAAGCATCGGAAACATTAGGGCCTCCACCTGTTTGTAAAGCTTGTGAAATTATAGCTTTAGTATCAGCATTGAACCATTCTCCTGTGTGACATATAGATTGTATTCAAATAATTAATTTCTTATAGATAAATTAGTCAAGGATTATAAAAATTTCAATTAATTATGATTTGTTCATTACCAAAGATGATGGGGACTTCTTTGTATGGTTTAGCAAATGGATAAGGAGTATTTTTCTTAGGAAGAATAATAATAGGACCATAGAGAGTTGATCTCAACCATGAAATATGTGCATGCCACCAAAAAGTTCCTCTTTGACCAATTATAGTGAAATTATACAAATATTTTTGGCCAGTTTGAATTGGACATTGTGTTACATAGGCTGGTCCATCTGCCCATCCACTACGAACTTGTCGAATTCCATGCCTATATAATAATCGCGAAATATTAAATATTGCTCGTTGAACCTTATGAATTTCACGAAAATAAAAGTTAATTCGTTTACCAATGGATGGAAATGTTGTTGTGAACATGATTGACAACTTCAATTTCAAGACGATCACCTTCCCTTGCCACAATTCTAGGTCCAGGAAATTGTCCATTTACTGTAACTATACTCTTCGTGTGACATAGTCGTGTCACATTTTGCATTTTTATCTGAAACACGAAAAAAATAAATGTAAGTATATATATAGTATTAATTCTAAATAAAAAAATAATAATTCACTTAGGAAACTATGCAATTATATGTATACATACTTCAAATTTATAGTGTCTGGTTGCAGCGGAAACGCTAGGGAGGAGACACGATGCAATCATCAGAGAGACGAGAAATATTTCAATAGAACCCATTTTCACGTAGAGAAAATAAAATCTCTCTGATTTTTTTTCCTTTTGTTACAAAACTTGACTTCTTGTTGTTGTTCTATTAAGTGCATGGGAGTGATGTGTATATATAGAGATGTTTGGTTGATTTGGTGAAATTATAAAAAAAAAAATATAGAATTGAAGAGAAAAGTGAATAGGTTGATTGTAAGCTATGTTTGGTTAGACCAACTGTTGTTGTAGAAACAAACTTTAGAGTGGTGTCAAAGAATACATATTTTTTTGTATATTAATTTGTATATCATTAGTATATTTGTCATGCAAATATTTCACTATGCGTATGGATTTTCCTTCTTAATGACTCATTGAGGATTAATTAATTTAGGCTTCATATATAGACAACTATAGGTAACCCTGAGGGGTAGCTCAGCTGGTAAAGGCCTGGGACAAAGTCCTTCAGGTCGCCGGTTCGAGCCCCAGCAGGGCCACTGGAGGCATTACAAACCGGCCGCGTCTCCAGGGCCCCGTGGAACTAACCGTGGTGGACCCGCCTTGAAACAGCGGGACCCGGTGGGTACAGCTAGTCGGGTTCGCAAAGCGACGCCCGGAAACCACGGTAAAAAAAAAAAAAAAAAAACTATAGGCATGATTTTGACGGTCTTCCATACATGATATATAGCCTTGAGGAAAAAGTTTTTACAAAGTGTTGTCATTATCATGAGAAAATTGTAATATTATGCTACTCTCTCGTTTTAATTCGTTTGTCTGATTTTGACTTGACGCGGAATTTAAAAAGTACAAAAGGTGATCTTAAACTATTAGATATATTGAATGAATCACCAAGATGTTAATTAATTTTATGATTTTAAATATGTCATCTAAAAAAATAAAATTAAAGAGTTGTTTAAAAATATAAAAAATCAACTGATTAAAAAAAAGTAAGAGAGATAAATTGAACCAGGTTGAGTCCTAAGAATTAAGATAAATTGAGGCCAATGGGGATTCAAATATTTTCCCTTTTATTTGTCAACATATCAGGTGAAAAATGATTTCTCAATACAACTACTTCGTCGAGAACAATTGTCAATTTATGAGTTATAGATATTTCACAATCGACAACTTATATTTTTATTAGTTATACGTAAGATTTATGAGATGGAGTAATTGTTAACAGATAATCATAGTCAGTAATTGTGAAAATATATATATATATATATATATATATATATATATGTGCAAGATATTTATTGATTTATAAATATAAACGTTCGATACGAAAATTTTTTTTATCGAGTATTACAAGTTTGGAAGATGAGAGTTGAAGAAGCTTAAGTTGGTGAGAAAAGGGTTTTCACTTGTTCGGTGTCTATCCCTTTTCATCATCAGTACTAATAAGGAGATTATTATTATTATTATTATTAGAGTATGGAATGTCTAATATGGGACACACAAAGGAATTTTACTTAAGTAATATGTAATTTATGGATATACATTATGTTACACACCTAAAATACAAGTAACATGTAATTTTGTGCAAGGTGTAAATTCAAAATTTAGATAGAATAGTGATATGAGCATAACTTTTTGACCTGCCACTCAACATGACTTAGGAAAAAGTTATAATCATGAAATTTATGATTATTTTTGCATGAACTCTTTAAACATTGACAAATTTGAAAAAAAAAACTCTAATGGTTCTATTTGAGCAAATCTCCTAAACAAATTAGATATTACTATTGATATACAATGGATGACAATAATTTTGAAGTGATACAATTATGTTAATATGTAACAAAACTTTAATTCAATCAACTAAAAGATTTATTTCAATAACATACAAACAAAATAACTCAATGAGAATACATAACTAGACAAAGAAGATTATTAATTGCCTTTGAAAATTCAACACATCCTTTATGTTGAATCACAAAATGTACAAAATGGTGAAGGCCTCTCTTTAAAAAAAATCACCAACCATTTCTAGTCTTGAAACAACTACCCCCACCTTCACTTGATGTCTTGCAACTCCAAGTATGGCAATTCATAAATTTGAGGGGTGTTATATACATTACTTTGGGACCACTCAAACCTCTACTTGCAAAAATCCATTTATCACATGACATGTTTTCCATCATCTCCATTGGTTATCATTAGGGCCGCGATAGAACCACTCTGCAATTTTTGACTCGAACTATATATAACTTTCAACGAGAAAAACCAAATCTTTGACTCGCTATATCACATCGTACTTGAGCAAAACCAATCCGAGATTTTTCAAGATCATACTCCACCCATACATTTTGTTGATGATGGTGTCCGATAATGTACGCTTCAACCGCTAGTAACTCGGAATTTCCAAACGTAAAACAATGTATCGAATCTTTTCCCCGAATTTCACCAGGTACTCGATACAACAATCGTTCTCCTGAAACCGTTATTTCTGCACCCCGAAACACTAAACCAACCGATGGTAACTTAGGTAACCACGTTTGATTAACAGGTACCCGATAACACAAGTCCATTGCACCTTGAAAAACAAAATCTTGATCCTCAAGGACCTTAAGAGTTCTCATAGTTTGATTCAAAAACTCACTCCTTAGTGCAGTGTAAGCTGGACCTAATAGGAAAGTAAATTGGGTACCCGAATCAACCATGGTTTGACCCGCCCCGGTATGATCGGGTATAAATACGGATTCGGGTATCGGAAGTAATTTATTCGACACTTTAATACCTTCAAGTTTAATAGTATACGCAACTCGATCAAAATAAGGTAATGGAAGTGAAATTTCGACTAACGGAGTGTAATTTAACGGTAAAATCCAAGTAAAATTCGATTCACCAAAAAGTAAAATACCAGAAAAATCAAGGCTCGAAATGCAATAAGAAAACTTCTTAAACCCCATTTGTGAAACAAAAGATAGAGATCCACGGTTCATACCCATTAACCCGGTTGTCTTTTCGTCTTCATCCGAATCACTACTGAAACACGAATCCATTGACCCGAATATCGTACCCGTAAAATTCGACCCGCCAATCGTAAACGTATCCATAGCTAAATTCCCTTCAGAAGACGAAGCATCTGCGTAAGAAAGCACAGCATGACAGAAATTCTTCGAATCACAAGAAGCTGGAATGGAGAAATCTTGAGTTCGGGTCGTGCAAGTGGGTTCGGAGCAAGAAACGGGTCTGTAGGAAAGTGAGCGGTTCGGGTTGAAAATGGGTTGTTTGATTCGGGTTGAATTTGAATGTAGCCATGAGAGTTCACTACCTGTATCAAGCACCATTGTTACATTCTGTGGAGGCGTACCGACTGAAAGGGAAACAGTAAGAGTAACATTGTGAGTAAATGGGAGTTTATTTGGTGCGGAAAACCCAGATGTGATTTGTTGAGTTTTTAGGGGTAAAATCAAACTTGGTGAAGCAATTTGGGTACTGAAATTTGATGTGGAAGAACATTTGAGGAAGAAGAGAAATGGTGTGAGGAAGAAGAAGAGAAGTAATTTCATGGTGAATTGAAAGAGGAAAAAAGTTTAGTGTTTGAGTTTTGGGGACAGAGAGTTTGTGTGAAATTTCTATGGTGATGGTGGCTTCAAGTGAAAATTGGTCATAGCCATTAAAGCTAAGCAATATTGAAAGTTTGTTACGATGTCGTTTTTAACCCTCTGTCTGGATGGTTGTTACGTCCGGTGTCACGTAGGACACATGTGTTTATTTGTTTAATTTTATACGATCTTTTAGTGTGCATAAATATACAAACATGTATATAATTAAAGACATAATACATAAACATGACTCTTAACTTGGCATTATCTGGCAACTATGACCTTTAACTTTGGATGTGCACAAGTAGACACTTAAACTTGTATAAAATTAAATAAATAGACACATTCTTCCTACATGGCACCCTATATAGCAATTTTACGTCCTACGTGTATTATATCATGTAGACGCGTGTGTCAATTTGTTCAATTTTATACAAGTTTAAGTGTTTACTTGTACACACTCAAAGTTAGAGAGCATAGTTATCCGTTGAAATCAAGTTAAGGCTCATGTTTATGTATTATGTCAATTAAAAAACACTTATGTATTGTATCTTAATATTATATTGAGTGGCTTTGTAACTGCTTTGTTTAAACTTTAGCACATCAAAATTATTGTTATTATCATTCTATAATCGCATAAATAACTGAGTCAATAATTTTATTGAAAAGTGTCAAAATATCAAAAACTAAAATGTTATAATTTATGCATAAAACCTAAACTTATAATCCACTTAAATAGTGTAATTTTTTGATGAAAGAATATCAATTAACAGAAGATTACTCTGCCATTGATCACACATACAAATTAATCACGTGGAAGGAATTAGAATTGAACCGATGATGGAAGGATTTTCCAAAATATAACTAAAATATATATAAATAATGAGTCAATCTATATTTTATAATTTTGTTATTGAGTACAATAAAACTAATTTATAAATATTATATCCGATATAACTAAATCATATATAACTAATCTAATTTATGACCAAACAACACCTTAAAGGTGCTTGAAAAGATTTGGAAACGATGTTTTGGGCGGTTGATTAACATTTAATAATCAGTGGAAATCCCACATTTTGTGGTTGCTAATACTGTTATTAATTAGTTTGTGCTTTTCATCAAACACACAATAGGTACGTTCAAAAAACTTATTAGTAAAATAGAAGGGGAAAGAGAAATCGTAGAATATATTATAATTTGAGATTTGAATTTTATTAATCATCGATAAGGTTAAAATTTAGACAGTCACTAAACTGTTCGAATTTTCTAATTATTAAAATATTGATGTTTCTTCGTTAAGAATCACTTGATTTACAAATTAATTATGTGAAATTATTATGAAGGAATTATTTATGGCGTAAGTAATAATGAATGTATTATTATATAGTGGTGAATAATGAAAAAAAAAATTATATGATAGTAATTAATAATAATGAGTTGTTGTTATATAAGTATTTCTTTTGTCCTTAAAGTCTAATCTTCATTATAATGGATGTGTTCAACATTTTATTCGGGAGATGATTCGGAATTTAAAGTTTATGAGTTTTGAATTATTATTTTTTTAAGTTTTAAATTATTAATTTATACATATAAAATGAATCGTTTAAGATAAATACATGATAAAATTTACAGAGAAATTACTGATTTCGATGAAATACCTTCCACTACCAACATATAAAACAATATATAGATACCAACATAACTTAATACATATATTATTAAATAGGGCCAACCCAATATTGCATTAATTAAATGGCTATTTTATTATTTTGTATAGATTTTTTGTTAAAATTAATTATACCACACGATCAATCTAAGAGTGACCCTTAAGTCCTTAACGATAACGATAGTGGTGTCTTCATGATTTTGTACAATCAAAATTTATTAAATAGAAAAGGAAAGAACATTTGTCTTGTTTGAATTTTTATAGAGTAATATTTATTTATTTTCTCTTTTATTGATTATATTTCATAATCATGAAAGGTTGGTAGCAGACTGGCCAACATCTTAAAGTTGTTACGTGTGTAGTAAAAGCTTCCAACTGAACCTAGGGTAGGGTGTGTCCGTTGCTGATATTTTTCAATTTTTTCATGTTGGATTGATTAAAAAAAATATCTTGAAAATGAGAATAATTTTCCTAATGAAAGTCGGAAAAACCAGTTCAATATGTGATGATGTTTCAGTTTTACTTTAATTGTGTCTTTCTCACCCTCCAACAAAATTCATCTTCAACTCACTTACTTACCCACGTCAACTCTTATCCCCCCCCCAAATCGCACCCCACATCCCTAATCCTTTCCCCCCTCGCCCGTTTCCCCGACACACACTCCTCACTTTTTATAATATTTATTTAGATTATATATATAAAAAAAAATATAAGTAAGAAATTCAGTTATTTTTCGAAACGCATCCTAAAATTTGCCTAACTTTTTCATGCATGACAATTGGCAATTGGTCTTAGTGAAGGACATAAGAATTGACTTAATGGCTTTCAACAACTACCTGCCGCCAAATCCTACTAAACCTAGAAAATGGACTAATCAACTAAAATCACATCATTTTGTCTGTTTAAAACTTCCTATTAAAGTAATAAACACCTTAGGGGACGTTTGTTCGTACACAAATAATGCTACAATAATTATCTATATAAACATTAATAATGTAGAAATTAATTATGAGGAGATTAATAATGTAATAATGAATTGCCGTATTAGCTTTAAAAGATAAAAGTGAAGGAAATCAAAAAAGCCTTTTAGGAACGAAGCGTCCTCCCTCGTATATTGTAATGGAAAGTGTAGATCTTAATTTCTCTGCAATATTAAAAAATCATTTTTTGTATATATATAATGAATTACAAGTAAAAAGGGGATGGAGCATAGTTCAAGTTAGAAATATGTATCTTATTTTCCTTTTCTTTTTCCGCACATCATACTATTAAAAAAATTAATATAATCCCCATTATCTTAATCTGATGATGATATCATGATACAAATGTTCAACAATTCGAACAAATCTAACTTGTCAATTAGAAATATATCTTATTAGTGCATGTGTTTTTCAAAAAGAGCAACTTATTACTTACCTCCCAATGGTTTAATCACAAGTGAGGCATTAATGAGACTTTATTGATTTCACTCATTGCTTCTTTAAAGCATTCTTGGGATTCTCAAGACAGTTATGCAAAAGTAGACACTTGTCTCAAATAAATGTGAAGAACTCAACTAAAGTAAAAAATAAGTGAAGTTGAAGAAAGCATCTTAGATCTAAAACTTGTAAGTTTACTTTGGCACATGGGTTGTGTTGTAAAATCAACACATCAAAATACCCTTCAAATGAGTTTGAAGCTAGCACATGACATGTTACTATAATATGGGCAACACAATCCTTGGAAAAAATTGGGGACCCTCTTAACACATCTCTTTGATCCACCAAACATCTTTTAACATGGCGATGGATCGATGAATATATCATAAATTATAATTAAAATATAAAACAAATAAACTTTTAGATTGATGTGTGAATATTTCACGTTCTTTAAAGAGATTTAAGTTTAATGCGGTATAATTTATATTAATGCAACAATATGACTATTGACTTGTATTCTTCAGGATGCAATAGCCCAACAACATTGTATAACTCAAATAACTCTAAATTAATTGAAGATTTCAAAGTGTAACTAAAAGAATGTCATCCTTCAATATAAAGTTACTCTCTTTTATATAGTGAATAAATTAAGACTTGGAGCATATTTATATTGACCTATTTTAAGTGCTTTTAAAGCAAATAAAATAATAGAGTAATGAGAGGAGAAGAAAAAGAAGTAATGTAGTTTTATCAAATATTGTTGCATTGAAAATACAGTGTAGCTAGCTAGCTACTTATAGTTAATCATTATTTCTTAGTAAACGTGTAAAATGAATAAGTTTAAAATGAAGGGAGTATTAATTACTAACTTACCACTAGCTAACTAATCACAGTAGCTTTAAGTTAACTTACATGCAGCTGTCAATAATTAAAACGATGGAAGTACTCTGTCTAGTCCATATTAAATGAATAGTTTTGATGTGACATATTTTCAAGGATAAAAAATGTAAAAGCTAATTTTCACTATTCTTCTTTTGATATTTCCAAACTATTTGACTATAAAATGTAACGTAGTTAAGAATCTCTCATTAAAAGAAGGGTGAATAGAAAGAAGTATCAACAATTCTCAAACTTTAAAGAATTTACTTATTTTAATTTTTAAACTATAAGAAAATCACAATAATTCACTTATATATGAACTAGAAGGAGTAATAAATAGTGAATTCACTTATATATTCTAATTCTAGATTAAAATCATTGGAGTTTTAATTAAATTTGGATTGTGCATTTGCATTGCGGGATCCATTTGAGGATGACACTTTCAATATGATTTTCTCTCAAACACAAGACTTGAATCTCTCAAACACTTGAATCCAAAACCTCTAATTATGAGTGAAACAGTCATAACGAACACTCACGATTTCATTTGGGAATGACACTCTCAATATAATTTTCTTCCATATACAAGACTTGAACCCCCTCAAATACTTGAATCCGACACCTCTAATTAAAAGTAAAGCAATCATATCAACCACTACACCGCAACAACGTAACTCATATTGATTGGGAAACAAACTCATGTAACACGATGTAGACATTTCCAGTGAAACAAACAAAAAGTTCGTGATAAATTTGGTGACAAAAAGACCAATTTAAACAATGCACGTTTGTATATATTTCTATGATTATCTGAACAACTTGTATATTACCTCGAAGACTTTTTAAACGCCACTAGAGAATCTTCCAGGAATTAAAAAATTCCTTGATTTGACATAATTTTTTAAAAATATATATTTATCAAAGAGTTTCTAGTTATATTTTGTAAATTTAAATCTGACAATTATTTTTTTCGTCTTATAATAAATGTTAATTTTATTTATTTTACACTTAACTAAAAAAATAATTATAGAAAGTATAGTTTACTTAATAAGGAAATAATATATACTATATATAGGAAAATAATATATTCCTAATAGAGCTCTATCTATTAGGAAAATTATGCATTATTAAGAAAAAAGTTTTTTGATACAAAGACATGGTTGAAAAAACATACAATATTACTTTTGTCTTAAATTTTGAAAGTGACACTTTATTTTGGGATATTTTATTTGTTTACTAAAGTACTTTTTAGAATAGAGGAAATAATATATACTTTATATAGTTATTTAGTAATAAGGCTAATATTACAACAAATGAACAATAAATTTCTCTTAATTTGCTATACAAATGAATTACAAAAATCTATTTTTAATATAAGATAAGTAAAATAAAACATAAATTATTTTTGCCACAGGCTTCTCCAGAATATAGCAACTGAACACATTACTCTAGAGTTTCTTAGGAACCGTTTGAACGGAGGAAAATGTTTTTCATGAAAAGTATTTTTTATATATATTTTTAAAATAAGTGATTTTTTTAAACTTATTTTCTAATATTATTTAAGTAATTAAAATATTAGTATCTCAAAAATAATTTATATATTATCCAGTAAAACACTACACCTCTATAAGAGTGAGATATGGTGGAGAGTTGGGATTGAGATAATCAAGGCGAGGGGATGTTGGGTGGATAGGGGAAAAGAATAATAAACTTACAATGCTATTTTGTAAGTTGTTTTTCGACTTTGATTAAAAAAAAATTATTATTATTTTTAAGAAATTTTTTTTAAAAAAAAAGTGCAATGCGATCCATGTCATTGTAGGGACTAGTGTCATGGACTTAGAGTCTGGCGGGACATGACACTAGGGATGAATGGAAATAGATAGGAAAAATTACTTAAATACACAACACTTCTTTACCTATTCTCAATATTTTCCTACTATTTTACTAAAATACAAAAATTCCTTATTTTCCCCCAATTCAACTTAACCGGATACTTTATTAGTTTAAGTATCCGCCTGTTATTAATTAAAGTATCCGTGGTGCTATATTATGCATCCGCCCGTTAATTAAGTATCCGTGCTGCTAACAACTTAATAATTTAAGTATCCACCCGTTATTAATTAAAGTATCTGCGCTGCTATATTAAGTATCCACACTGCTATATTATGTATCCGAAAAACACTAAAAAAAGGGATTTTTGGTAATTAATGAAAGAGTAGGGAAATGAAGTAATTTCTTTCTTATACTATGTAATTTGCCTAATTTTTACAAATAGATATTATGAATGAGGCCCAATTTAATGTGGATATATAATTATTGGATTGAGAAAATCTATTGGGCCAAGAATAAACAATTGGACTCAAAGGCCTTCCAGAGTTTAATTTGATAGATGATCAAAATCCCTTTATTTATAGGCAAAATTACTAAAGCACACTACATATGCTTATCTATTATCAATTAATCCCTTCTCTTTCATAAAAATCCAAAAAATCTTACTTTTCCCCAATTCCTCTTTTCCGGATACTTAATTATGAAAGAAACCAAACCCATCTTCCTCACCCCCAAAATCTCGCCTATAATCTTTCCCACTACCAAACCAGTTATCGCTTTCAAAGCAATTGGATTTTCAAACGATTCAACAGTCCCAATGTTCAAAATAGGTATTATCTTCTTCTTCATTTTTCTTTCAAAATCATTTTTTTGCTTCAATCGATTTCGGATTATTTGTCACAATGGATCATCTGTCTTTTAATATTGGGATTTCCCAATTAATAACACCTAACAATGAACAAATTTTTGAATCTGAACACCCCAACTTGACTGAACAGAGGTCTAAAAGCTTGCATGCAACGGCATTAATGGCGACTTGACTGAACAGAGGTCTAAAAGCTTGCATGCAACGGCATTAATGGCGAATCGAACTTCTACCAAGAGAAAATCGAAAACGGAAGTGGGGTCATCATCTAAAGCAAAGGATGCAAAAACTAAAAAGAAAAGGGGTAGAAAGGTTGCCCCTCCCATTTCCCGACCAACACTACCCATGATATGTCTTTCTTTTGCTTTTAATTTTAGACATTGTTGAAAAATAAACGTATATAGTGTATATTGTAATCTATAGTTTTAACCTAGAAACACTGATTGTTTGGGTTTGAGTTTAACTTTTAAATTTGTAGATGAAAGATATGGTTGAAAAATATAGTTTTTTGTATATATTGAAAACTGGAGTTTTTTACTAGAAACACTGATGTTTTATCTGATGTTGATATTGAGTATAAATTTTACATTTGTTGATGAAACACATTGTTGAAAAATAAAGTATCTTGGTATATACTGAAATGTTGAGTTTCTACCCAGAAACACTGATATTTTATCAATTGTTGGTATTAAGGTTTCATTGTTGAAAAATAAAGTATCTTGGTACATACTGAAATGTTGAGTTTCTACCCAGAAACAAAGAATAATGTGCCAAAGACAACACCAGACGTGCAAAAGAATCAGCCATTTCAAACTCCGATTTCACAACCCCTAAAGTTTGATAATGTATCTGGTGTTCATCTTATTTACACATTTCATTCAATTCATAATGTATCTTCTTTCTGTTTGCAGCGACTGTGGAACATATGTAGCTGTTTTTGCTGAATTTTTGAGCCACGAAATCAAGGTCCCATCAATTCCTTTTCGAAGTGAATATCTTCGCTCAAGATATGCAACACTGTTATGGAAATATGGTACCGACAAGGTCAATGCCGGATATGTTAGCGAGAATGATGAACCTATAAGGCTAAATGCGGCTTCCATTCTACTGGCAGATGATGAATTGATTAATGTAGAGTAGTTGTTTATTGACTGACTTACCGTAAAGATGTGAAGTTTTACTGTTTTGAGAAACATTAAGTGTTTTGTAGTATTCCTCTCCAGATCTATATTATATTTCTAAGTAATTAATTATTCTATTTTTGAAGAGTTTTTATTTCCACACTTTTTATATCGCTTCTAAATTAGTTTTCACTGCATTTTAATACCTTATTAATTTTTCTATATTATAAGTATTATACATGTCAATGCAGATTTTACTACAGTGAATCCGATACAAAATTTCATCTCCCATATTGAGTATATGATACAAAATTATGTATCTTAAAATGACATAATTTTATTGTTTACACAACACTGTACAATTTATATTTTATAAGATGATACTAAATATTTTTTACTTACATAAATATTAGGTATATGATACATAGGTGTCTAAAACATTTCAAATTGATACGATTTTATCATTTCATGACAAAGTTTCAAAGATATCAAGTATCATATACACAAACTTTATACTAAAATCACTCTAACTTTTTATAAGCTTATACTTAATTTCCAGAAAACTATTTTGTGCATGAAAACTCAAATTATGTCCATAAATATCAAAATTTTATGTATATGATATATAATATTGGTAAAAAATACAACTTCTGATACTCTATTATTAGTAGATACAAAATTTAGAAGAATATATTATGTATATGATATATAATTGATTCAAATGATACCTTTTTTAAATGTTGTCTCTATTAACTTTGACACACATCACATCTATTTGGCACTATTAATCTATGTAAAAATTATAAAAAGCACATAGTATACCAATCTAATTTTTATAATAAATTGACAATCACATAATGTTGGCAGATAACAAAACATAACATTATTCATTTATTGCATCATAAAATAGTAACCTAAAAGTACTTCCTAAAGTATCAAATTTGAGAATTATTAGACATGAGTCATAAAATAGTAACATAGATCATTATTATTAGGCAAAATTACTAATGCGTGAATTGTGGCAGTTAATTTTAAAATCCCTTAACGCATAAAACTGTTAAAATCCCTTTTTTAACGCACTGACCTGATAATTACAGCTTCTTAATTAAAGTATTCGACCGCATATTAAAGAATCCGCAACACAAAAAAAAGAAGGAAATTTCGTAATTTATGAAAGAGTAGGGACATGAAGTAATTTGTTTATTATACTATGTGCTTTATATAATTTTTACTTATTTATATAGATAGATGATAAAAAATAGGAATAAACAAAAAGTGAAATTTATATCTAAGCACATATACATATATATATATATGTAGATAATACATGTGACTCTAATGAAAATTTAACTTTTTATCCGTATGAAAAATTATTATTTTCTCCTCATTGAAAGAAGATAAAAAAAATGTGTGGGAGAAAGAATTCAAAAAGGAGAGAAGATCTCGTCCACGCAACATAGTGCAACCCCTAAGCAATTTGGGGGGGGGGGGGGTTCTCGATCATCTCTTGAAGGTCCATTTCAGTTAAAAATGTCTAAGCACATACATATATATACGTAGAAGGTAGATAATACACTTAAGATTATAATTAAATTATATAAAAAAAAAACGTAATGTTTCATTTTGTAACAAGTTCATAAAAATATTGTTATATTTTACCTATCACAAGATGATTATATTATATTATTATTATATATATATAATATAAAAAAGACTTTACATAAAGAGGAAAAAAATGTTTTGAAAGTAAAGTTTGAATGTGGAGATGATTTTTACGTTTTATAAAATTATGAGTGAATTAAATTTGAGGTAATTATATCCCTAATATTATTATTAATATACCACATCTCTATTTAATTTAATTTAATATAAACAAATATTAAACCCTTCTCCAAGATAAATCCCTTCTTCTCCAAAGTTCCCGTACCTTCTAGTTTCTCTAAAATCCCTTCAATAAATTCTTCTTCTTCTCCAAAATCAAACTCCAAAAAATCCAACCACGAAATCAAAAATGGCGAAAGAAGGACCTAATTGGGATGGTTTATTGAAATGGAGTCTATCTCATGCTGATGGTACCAATCCTCCTTCTCGCAATTTGAGGTAACCAAATTTGAATCTTGTCAATAATGATGATAATGAATTTCTTTCTTTTATAGCAAAAAGATTGAAACTTTTGATATGGGTTTTTTCGATTGAATAGTAATTATAGTTCAGATAGTTTATAGGTTTGAGTTGTGTGCTGTGCGAACTAAGCCTCTTGTGTTTAAGTGGAGAAGGGTAGAGGGGCGGGCTCATTGTTCTTGTTTTCAAAGGCTGTAGTATAAAAGATGGGTGTTGTAGCCTTGTAGGTTGAGGACAAGCTAAAAATAGTTGAAATATGAGTGGAATTGATAAAGAGGATTTATGTAGCAGGCAAATTGGTTTTGGGGTTGATTGGGGTAGTAATTTGAATAAAGATTCTATTTTTATTTGTTCACTGATTGGTGTAGGGATTGTTCCTTTTTAGTATGCTTTGTCATGGTTTCTTTTAGCATTTTGTCTTGCCTTTTTTACTTCAGTTGTTTTCGTTTTTCGAATTGTGTTGTAATGGTTTTACTTTAGTCGAGGGTCTATCGGAAACAACATCACTATCCTTCCCAAACCCCACTTGTGGAATTACACTTGGTATCTTATTGTCGTTGATTGATTGATTGGTGTAGTAATTTGAATGAAATTTCTATTTTTATTTGTTCTTTTCTGTGAAAGTTGGTTTTATATTGAAGTTATTGGTTGATTGTATTACTGTGGGTCAGTGAGGAGGACAGGAGGTGGTTCATGGAGGCTATGCAAGCTCAAACTGTTGATGTAATAAAGAGAATGAAGGAGATTACACTTGTCATGCAAACACCAGAGCAGGTTTTGGAATCACAGGGAGTGACTTCCCAAGATATTGAAGGTGCTTGATTTTGAGGCATTTGGGCTTTTAGTTTTTCTGGATAATGTGTAATCATGTTTATGAGTTTTGCTCATTTTGTCTTATTTGCTGGCCTGATGATTTTACAGATATGCTGGATGAGCTACAAGAACATGTTGAATCAATTGACATGGCTAATGGTGAGTTCTTGGTGTAATTTAGGTCTTCAGCAACGTATGCATATCATGATTTGGTATTTACAAGTATTACATGATTCTTAAAAACCAACTAGTTTGGAATTGAGGCCTAGTTGATTGATTTATGGAAGGTTTTATCTGATGATATATCTGTTAGAATGTCCCACATTAGTTGAGGGAATATGATAGAAACTAAGATGAAAATGAAACTTTACTCGTTAATTAAAGTGCAAGAATCTTAAACACTGTATTAACCAATAACTATGTCCGTATGGAGTGGACAAATCTCCAGATACAAAGACAATAACAATATTTTCCTTCTCCAGAATTCTCCTAAAATAGACATATTTATAATAAACATAAAGATAACTCCTAATAGATAGAGATAGAAACAGTTACTGCGGCTGGTAATAACTTTTGCTTATAACTACTATAAATAATTACTGCTTATATATTTATATAGTGTAATTATTTATATGTCTTCAGTTTCCTTTATCTTCAACACTATTTAAAACAAAGAAACTAAGATAGATTATCTCCACATGTTGCTCGTCTAGATTTTCTTCTAGCATTCGTATCAGAATACTATAGATTGTTGTCTCCTTATAGTATTGGACAATTCTTGTCACATGAGCTAGTTTTTGTTGTTGATTTAGGCCCAAGGTCCATTTCTTAATATGGAGTTAGAGGTACACCAATATATTCTTAGTTTACTGAATACTAGGCCCCTATGTTAAATTGTTCACGCTCTAGATGTCCACTCTGGGTGTTCAGAGGAGAGTTAGCACCTCACATTGGTTGAAAGAATGGCCCCTTGTCTCTTTATATGGTCTTTTGCTCAATCCTCACCTCTTAAGCTAGCTTTTGGGGTCCAGTCGGCCAAAGGTCCATTTACTTAATAATATCATGTAGGTTTAATTGAATCTTGGACGTCATGTGTTTGAACTCTGCCACATTCAAAATCACGGTATTCAAGTGGACAGGAGTAGTGGTGTGTACCAATTATTGCCTAGTTCTGAACTGGTTCCCGTGCACCACTGGCCCTCGGAATTTCTCGACAATTAAAAAAAAAGCCCTGATCAAGGAGTGGTTTCATTGATTATATGAGTTTGTTCTTTTGCTGACCTGTTCTTTGACATGGTAGTTCATATCATTGTGTTCATCTAGGAGCCAAGACTAATTATTTCATGTTTTGTGAATTATCCCCTGACAAGCATCCTGCATTTCTGTAGAGTAGCTACTTACCGGCATCCATGTCGGATACTCCAAAAATAGTGCATTTTTGGAGGATTTGACACGGGTGCGGCAACATTTTTGGAGAGTTCGAGCAACATAGTTCTACATTGGTTTTTTCTTAGACTGATGAACTTCGTTCTGCCACAAAATAGCAGTAATGATATTGCTCTCATCTTTTACTTCCGATTAATTCAAGAACGTACATCCACTCATCTTGAGGAAAACCATGTGTGACAATAAGTGCTCAGTAAAGTTATGCAACTTCATGTTAATCTCTATTGAAGATGTTTGTGCTCCATAATCACATATTCAAACAAATAAAAACCTCGGTCACACGTAATCCTCTTGGATGTCACTCCTAATTAGCTTATGTTTATCTCTGTTCCTACTGGATGTAATTGGTTGTGTTCAGATAATAATTACTTGTTGAAAAGAAAATAAAAATGAAGCATATTGGACCAAGCTGTGACACTAATTAGTCCATATTATACATCACTCTGATCCTCCTCTGTCCTGCTTTTTTCCAAGCTTAATTCTGATTATTTATATAAGCAGTCACAATTTTCATTTAATATGTATTTTGTATGAATGTACTCTTGGTGTTATTGTGCTCTACAATATGAGGTCCTCAAGTCTTCTATTCAACCTAGAGGTATGTCCTACAGTTTGAGATGTTTTGACTCTGGTGCCTCTTTAAGAGCTCGGTAGTTGGTTGCTTCCTTCGATAGAATGGAACACTTGCAGTAAAAGAGCTTTAAGAGGATCAAAGAGTATGAAACAAAGGAAACCATTTAGTCTCTCATCCTTTACAGCATCAATGTTATCTGGAATGCCTATGACTAAGCTATATCGGTTCTCAAGAGCCACTTGAACCTGGGGGAGGTATTCCTTGGTACTGCTATGGAAATTAGAAAAAGGGAAGAGGACCAGAGAGACCTGGGGGAAGTGGTCTATACTTTGTTAGTGTTTCTGGCTCATAGCTATTCCTCACTATCAACTCTTGAAGTTTCTGCTCTGTGTCCTCTCCCTCCTCATTCCTTGGGGATTTTGTTCTCTTTACTCATTTTTATTGTCATTTTCTATTGGAGCCTTCAATAGGTAATTATAGTTTTAATCTTATGCTCTCTCCCTTTATTGTTAATTCGGCAGATCTGAACTCAATTGGTGGATTGGTGCCTCTTCTTGGTTACTTAAAGAACTCCCATGCAAACATTAGAGCCAAAGCGGCAGAAGTTGTAAGTACAATTGTTCAGAACAACCCGAGGAGCCAACAGCTGGTAATGGAAGCTAATGGCCTAGAACCTCTTCTGTCAAATTTCACCTCAGATCCTGATGTTACTGCCCGCACAAAAGCTCTTGGTGCAATTTCATGTGGGTACTTTTCCTGTTGCTGAATGATTTATTAGTTAATTGTGTCCTTTAAATTTTGTTGTCATGTCATCTGTGTTCCAGTAGTGCTGATCAATTAGCTTTTTATTTTTCATTTATTACAGCTTTAATCAGGCACAACAAGCCTGCCATTGCTGCATTTCGTCTTGCAAATGGTTATGCAGCTTTAAGAGATGCTTTGAGTTCGGAGAATGTGAGATTTCAAAGGTACTATTTTCTATATCATGCACTAGATGTTTCTGAATTAACCATTGATGAAGCTGCTGCTTTCCAGTAAAACTTCCTATTTTATATTCCTTTTCTGATAGGTGTAGTTTCTGTATTTTTGCAGGAAAGCCCTTAACGTGATCCATTATTTACTGCAAGAGAATCATTCAGACTGCAATGTAGTGACTGAGCTAGGATTTCCTCGAGTTATGATGCATCTAGCCTCTAGTGATGATGGAGAAGTGCGAGAGGGTGCCCTACGAGGACTTCTTGAGCTTGCCCAAGACAAGACAGGAGAGGTTGCTGGCTCCTCATCAATTGAAGAAAATGAGAAACTCAAGCAAATACTCCAGGAGCGAATTAAGGGGATTTCCTCTATGTCACCTGAAGATCTTGGTGCTGCTAAAGAAGAGAGGCAGCTTGTAGATTCCCTCTGGAATACCTGCTACAATGAGCCTTCTTCTCTTAGAGAGAAAGGCCTAGTTGTTCTCCCTGGAGAGGATGCATTACCACCTGATGTTGCTAGTAAGCATTTCGAACCACCTCTGAGAGCTTGGGCTGCGAATAGGAATGAGGATACTATGTCAAGTAACGAAAAGAAACAGGCTCCCGTATTGCTAGGCCTAGGTCCACCTACACAGGACCCTCCTGCGCAGAATAGCTTTAGTGGAGCCATGCCTGGGGAAGAAAATAGAGACACCTCTGCATGATGTACATGTTTTAGGCAATACCAGTTTCTTCGGCTTAATATATCTTTATAATATTACAAATAACATTGTGTGTTAAATGCCGAGTGTTTTCTGGATAATTTTTAGTCTTTCCTCTTTGTCATGTCACACTTGCAATTTTCCTTCTTTTCCTTTGTTGTTTAACCAAAATCTTAGTGTAATGCTGTATTCATTTTGGTTATAGTATATTTAGAACATCGACTGTTGAATGTGTTCTTATTTTGGTGACTTTTATCACAATATGAGAATCTCAACTAGTACTAATATTGCTGTTCATTGACTTTCCATTAATTTTCTGCTTAGACTCGAGTTACATAAGTAGAGGACAACAAACTGCCTCTAGATGGACATGTGTTTCCATCCAGTCCTAAGGTACATGAAACTTGTATTACAGATTCCCAGAACTCTTATTTTGGAGGGCAAAAGATAATGACATACCTTGTAGCCCTACACCTGTTTAGGCTAGAAGACTCATCAAATGCATAACTGTAAGCCTTGGGGCAGATGGCCTTAAATAGATGAGCAAAAATAGTAGGTTTGCAAGTTTTGGGATCTGCAAACTTCCCTGTGCAGCAGTACTTGGCTGATTGTATAGCCAAGCAAGCACTCTTGCACCCTACCACTTTCCCATCAACCTTCACTTCTAGTGCAGATGGACAGCATATATTCAGATCAACATCACACTCCGCCACACCACAACCTGCTCCTCCACCTACTGGTCTCATTGAAACTGGTACGTTGAAGCCATCGACTAAGCTCACGTCGTAGAAATGCAGGGGTGAAATTGATGAACCTAGTGTCATTTCTACAACAGTAGCCGGTGGCTTACCTCCTAACCCCCGGCATTTTAATTGACCATTACAGTCTCCAGTATCACATGAGCCTTGACCAGTCTTATTAAAGTGACAATTCTGCCTGGCCCATATCCTACCCGACCACTTCTTAGGCACATCGAAGACTACCTCGTCACCACTTCTCATATGAAAGCCACCATCTTTAGGAGTCATCTTCCCTGTATTCCCAAGAATTCCTGGCCATATGCTTCTTCTGCAGTTGTTAACTAGAATAATTTGTGTCCCATCTGCAGTCACATGACAAAAAGTAAAACAAGTCAAGAAAATATTGTGCATACAAAGACAGAGATTAAGAGTCAGGGAATTACTTGTGCTGACAAGAAAGAGGTATAGACAGAGTGCAATACATAGTAGATGAGTCAAAATCTGCATTTTGACACTTTGAGAAGCTGAAGCTCAGGTATACTGAGTTAGTGGGGAGTGGAAGAGCTAGCTACTTAACTCTGGAGAGCTCAAGTTTTTAAAGTACAAACTAAACATTCTGTTTAACTGTATGCTTTTAGTTTATTATAACCAACAATGGTATCTTTTTTACCTTTCTTTTGGGAACAAAGGGCACATATGCATTGCTTCAAGTGGAGGACTTGTACCTCACTATAGCCTAATGTGATTTGGAGATACTTAGCTTGTGTAGATGCTTCAACTCTACTCACTCATCAGAAGCTAGAATTGTCATGGTCTATGTTGCTCGGACTATTTGAAAATGTAAATATGTGCGTGTCTGATTCTTCAAAAATAGTTGACTCCCTCATCAGAAGCTAGAATTGTCATGGTCGATGTTGCCCGGACTCGATGTCAATGTGTGCGTGTCGGATTCTTCAACAGTAGTGTATTTTTGGAGAATCCAACATAGTTGCGGAATCAAAAGTGAAGAATTTGCGCAATTTAGGCCGTGGTTATTGATAAAATAATTTGTCCGTGATACGCATTCTTTACGGGCATCAATTACTTATAACTTGTTACTATTAGCATATCGTCGACTTCTTATTTGTATGATCGATAAATAGAGACTGGTGAGATGACCAAAAATTTTGTAATAAAGTTGTTCTCTTTTATCGTACATAAAATAATAATACATAAATTTTCTCATAATTTTTACATGAATTAGTTATGTGAGTTTTTATATTCTAAATCAAACATCTTATTAATTTTATTCATGAATAATTTACCCCCTAACCAATTACTAAACATGGTATTACTTATGCAAAATCTAATATATACATAACTCATCTCCAAATCAGCTATCACGCGACCCTAATATTTTTACATGAACAAGTTATTTTTGTTAAAAGGGAACTGTCTTACACTAATAAGAATCGTGATTAAGTTTAAAGATAAGGGAGAATTAAGCTGCATTAAGCTTTAAGCTATCGTTTAACTTCACAGTAAGGATTAGAAATGTTCCCTAATATCTAATTAACACCTAATTATGGATATAGTATTAAACATATTATATTTGACAGAAAAACTTCCACTTATGTATAAAAAATATTTGACGGACTCAAATTTATATATATATATATATATATACGAATCATTTTGTATTACTCTTTTGTGATAACGAATATAGGCTTTTAATGAATATATGTCTTGAAAAACTTTTCAAATGCGCATGTATATAATTTTCAAACTTAATCAAATGTGTCGATGAACTATTTGATTAATTTAGAAATATATTAATTTCTCAATTTTACCCTCCGTTTTACTATAAGCTTTGTTTGCAATACAAGGTATATATGTAAGTTGGATGAGAATAAAAAATATATATTTTTTCTTTTTTTGAAATTTATGATATTAAAGTTATCGTGTAATTATAAATTTAAGGTACCAATATTAGAATCCACGTATAAAAAAAATTGATGTTCTAATTCACATATTAAAAAATAAAAAAAAATTCTACTGAACTTAATGTCTCAAATTATATACTGTGTTTCTTTTCGTTAGAAAGAATTCGACTATTTTACTTTTATTATTGCTTAAGATATAATCTCCTTCTATTAAATTAATATTCAAACAAACCACACAGGTCACATCTATTATCTCTCGAATAGTGGATTAGGAGATTTAAACCTTTCAATCCGATGGACAAAAAGATTAACAATATGATTTTGGAAGATAATACTAAAAGTTGTAGAGATGGTTGTCTCATAGTGAGATTTCAAAAAAAATAAATTCAAATCAATAATTTTTCTACACAAAACAGGAACAAATAATATTTAGTTCAATCAGAATCAGACGTTCCATTCATTCGTTTATGGAAGCGACTATTTATTTTCATTTCTATTAAAGTAGTTGTAATCTTCAAAAACAATTACTATTCAAGATAAAATTTTAAAAAATAAATTATTTTGAACTTCTAAAATAATAAATAATTTGAGATAACTATTTTTAGAATTCAATAATTAAAGAATAAATGGAGTAGTTCCATCAAATTCAAAGCTACTGAAATCGAACCCCAAATCTGATAAACCCTTTGAATTTAGGGTTTTGCAGAAGCATTTACTATGTTTCGAATCGGAGCTAAGCTCTTTAGAGCTGCCAGAATTGGTGGCTCCGCCGTGTCCGATTTCAGGTTACCACCAACAAGATTTTTCTCCATTAACAACAATGTTAATACTGGTTTCAAAACCAACCCAGTTGCTCTTCAAATGATCAATTATGCTATTTCCCTTGCTCGGGCAAAAAAAATCAGGTTTTTGCTCACTATACCAATCTAATGAATTGGTGTCTTCAGTTTGTTTTTGTGTTGTAAATGCGAATTTGCTTTGATTTCCCCATCTGGGTCATAAGTGTTTTCTCTTTTCCCAAGCTGTGAAGTACTGAAGTTCATTTCTTGAGTTTAATTATGTGTTTTTGATGAATAAAAATGGTTGAGGAAGATGATTTGGTTTAAGAAAATGTCATTAATGCTCTCTTTAGGTAGTAGTTAGGACAGGAACCTGCTAGGATAAATAAACAAAGAATTCATATTTCTGTTTTCTAATATGTTTTGGAAATTCACTCGACTGTATAGTTACTAGTGTTTGGACAAAGAATTGGATTCACTCTCATATTTGTTGAAGCCAGCCTGTGGTAAGAGTTTGGAGCCCTCAATCACTTACTTATTCGGTAAATTAGCTAGCAAGAGGCCAATCCTTAGGAATCTTCTTTCCAAGATAAACCATTTGAATGCTACTAAATGACAAGAATAATCTATTGGAACACGGCACATGCATCACACATAAGGAAGACGCTGGAAGACTTATAATGAATTTGTCTAAAAAAAAAGACTTATAATGAATTTGTCCATTTCGGGGTCTTTCACTTTTGCCATATCTAGAGAAATACTACAAGTCTTCCGTCCCACATTCCATGGCCACGGCCATCTGGTTCACCGGTACTACCAAAAAAATCTCATACTTACGTTATTGTTATTGATTGTTTGATTGTCTTGGACCACGAGGATCCCAGTGTGCTTTTGATTTTCATTCCAATCATCATGTTGATGATAAATCTCCTCGTTCTCTGCCATAAGAACTTGGAGTCCGTATTATGGTGAAGATAATGTAAGACTGTCATTCTTACTCAAAAAACAGACTGAAGGCCCATAATTTGACATTAAATTATTTATTATCCAAATAAAATAAGATTTTCACTATATATAACAAAAAAAAATTTGTTTCTTATCTCTAGGACTTTGATGATTTAGGCAAGAAGTATTGTTATTTTTAATTAGTCATCTCTTCTATTTTTTTAGCAGAGCTCGAATATCACTAAGACAGTTAAATATAAAGAGGTTAAAATGATTCAACATATAGAATATATACTTTAAAAAAGTTACCTATTTTCTTATGATTAAGTCCCCTTAGACATAGTCTACTACCAAAATATTGCTATTACAAGTGCAAAAAGGAAAGAAATTAACATAAAAAGAAAACTTAAGCCCAACAGGGCGATACAAAGGAGGACTGAAAATAGAGAAAGCTAGACAGGCAAGTTAATTTTTTGTGGGATCATAAGACTTTGCCCTCCTTGGCCTCACCCCATCTGCTCCATTTGTAATCTCTAGGCAAAGAGTAGGTATCCGGCTTAAATCTTCTTCAAAGAAAGCTTGAATGAACCAATATTGCTTATCCATCCTGGAAAGATAGTCTTTGAATGCAAAGAGTAGGTATCCGTCTTAAATCCTCTTCAAAGAAAGCTGGAATTAACCAATATCGCTTATTCATCCTGGAAAGATAGTCTTCTCATATGCTTCAGCGGTCATTGTATTACAAGCAGCAAATGATATGTGCACAATCAGAACTCTCAAACAATTTCAAAGCAAAACAACGGTCAAGACAAAGCAACAACTCAACTCAAGGAGAAGTCCATTTGATAGCATTTTATAGCTAGCAGTAATATAACATTTCGTAAATATTTAGTTTGTGTTAAATTGTATTTAGTCTATATTGAGTTTTTACAACTCTTTAAGTTCTACTGTTTTACACTAATGAGGAAAAGAATGATTAATGTAAGCTAGGTTCATGTACTGGTTATAAATGAAAAAAATATTTGTTTATGAAAGGACATATTTGTTCATCAACATTTTAAGGTTACTTTAGTAATTTAATACTTTGATTTGGGGCTTCCCACTTATAGAATAGTGTGTGTGTGTGCGCGCGCGTGTGTATGTATGTGCCCGCCTCTGAAGCACTTTTTTTTTTGTGTGGGGGGGGGCCTTCTTACTTATAGAATAGAATGTGTGCGCGCGTGTGTATGTATGTGCCGCCTCTGAAGCACTTTTTTTTTTTGTGTGTGTGTATGTGTATGTATACACATACATATGTAGAGAGATAGACTAATGAAGGTATCCATTCATGTCCTTAAGAAGAGTTGCTTTGTAATGGAAAAGTCACTATTTTACAAGTAACACCTTTCATGAATGGACATAATTTTTAAAAAAAGAAAGACGCGACAGTCAACCATGTAAGACCTCGTGAAATTTGTGAACTATAATTTAGGAGAGTTGTAAATGTGAATTTTCTTCAATTTTCCATGTGGTCATAGATGCCTATTCGAAAAATCAGGTCTTTCACTTTTCCCATGTCATCAAGTTCATTTCTTGATTTTTTATCTGTTGTAAAATATGAATCTACTTTGATTTTCCACATTGGGTACATATGCTCTTCTCAATCAGTTTTTTTTTTTTTTTTTTACTTTTCCCAACTTATCAAGTCCGTGTCTTGAGTTTGGTTCTCTGCTGTCATTGTGAATTTGATTTGATTTTCCATGTGTTGTTCATAGATGAATCATATGCGCAAGCTCAATTGGTACTTGAGCAGTGCCACTCAACTCAGTCGGATGAGAGTGCTAAAGGATTGGTTTTTCTCGCTATGTCTACCTTATTTTCTGAAAGGTTAGTCTTTATGATGTGGTTATCCACTTACAATTTATGACCTGGAATTTGAAGTTAATTGTTTTATTCTCCTTTCCTGGTGTTTTTTTTGTTTTTAGAGGGAATTTTAGTGAAGCCATTGAGAAGCTCCAGAAAATTCAAGATTTGGGCTTGTCATCTATAGCTGTTAGAGGTAAAACTTGTGGCACTTATGATAGAATCCACAGTTTGAAGTTCCCATGGTAACAATTAGGCATATGATTGCAGTTGCCGCCTCTGAAGCACTTGCTGGGCTTTATTTAGAATCATATCAAGTAAGACTTGTTGAACTGCTGATGTCTGCCTGAACTGATTTTTGGCATATAGTTTATATATAATATAGGATCACTTAGCAAATATTTCTCCAAATGTAGGATGATTTTTCATCAGCAACTGCAGATATGTGCTTGCAACTGCTGGAAACCATAAGGCTAGAGATTGGTGGTGGTGGATCTGACATTTTGGAAGCTCGTGCAAAAGCATTGAAAGGGCTGGTTGAGTTGGTCCATGGTAATGTTGAATCAGGTGAGAAATATAGTGGTCAAACTTTTCCTCTGCTTTCTGTGTTATTCTTTGTTCTAAGGTATTGAAATTGTGTATGTTCATTTCAGCCCAGTCATTTTTTGAAGGAGCTCAAGGTGATAAAGGTTGCTTTGGTAAGGATTTGCCTTGTGAGACATCACAGATGACATAGTTCTACAATATATTGATATCGTGATGTATAGGCAACGTTGCACTATCTTTTGGTGAATTCCTGCATTGTAAGCGGAATTTCCAAATGGCGAGGGAGTTATATCAAACGGCAATGCAGGATGTATCAGAACGTAAAGATTTTACTGACTCACAGTCCGTATCAGCTTGTAACATGAATTTGGAGGAGACTTTGTTAGGAGCTACTTGTGCTCTAGGACAGCTTGAGGCTCATTTGGGGTAAGACTTCCTTTAAATATTTGGCTTTCCCTTGTATAAACATATATTCCAATATCTTCCCTCATGCACAGACTTTTCGGGTGGCTGTAGGAATTTTGATGATGCTGAGGAAATACTAACTGCTGCACTGAAGAAAGCAGAAGAGTGTTTTGGTTTGCTACATCAATTTATTATTGCATGTATGACAAAATCATTTGTATCCTATTGATTTTTATTTTATTTATGCAGGTAATTATCATCCAAAGGTAGGTATTATTTTGACCTGCATAGCTCTCATGTATCGACATAAAGCAGCCATGGAGCGGTCAAGCTCGCTTTTGATTCAAGAGGTCTGAAACTATTCTCAGAGCCATTGGCATATACAAATATCTATACACCACATGCATTTACTATCTGTTTTACCATTGCAATGTCAACCCAGTAACAATGATTTTGGGTGGAATTCGTTTTAACATTGTGAGTAGTTTTGGGATGCATTTCCAATTTTTTTAAGAATGCATGGTTCAATGGACGCAATTTAGGGTTTATTCCCTAGGTGACGTTGGTGGGCTTGTTTCTAAGGATTTCTTCTGAAGATACTGAAAAAAAACTTAATCCAAAAATAATGTCAAGAAACTGTTCATTTCAAGGACCTGATTCCAAAGGATTTAATGAGTGACCCTATTGCAGTTACAATAGTTGAATATGAAATACTTTCTTTCTCGGGGTTTCTCTCTTTCTCTCTCTCTCTATCTCTTAAAGGGTTTCATTGAATAATGCAGGGCCTCTATAGAAGAGCAATTGAAGTGCTCAAAGCTCCACCATTGGAAGTAGAAGGTATGCCAAATAATGAAAAAGTTCCAAGTTTACATCATTCAGAAATCAACTAGAGATAGAATAACAACCATTCAATATCTTTTTACAGGTGTTGGAGCGACACGGTCTAGAAGGGATATTCTTGCCCTTGCAAGAGGTATACATTGCTTCTAAAATGTAGTGGATCTTATTTACTTCTTATCCACATCTTTTGCAGAATTGCCCGACCTCTTCAAGATATTCCTCTTTCACCCTAATTACAAGGTCTTTTTTCTGGAAACATACTTTGTAGTGGTAGCAAAAGCTGTGTCTTTAGGGTAACGTGATCTCTCTTTCTGCAACCCTTGCTTCCGTCAGGCATTATAGTTTTTGAGTCTTCACTGAAAGAAACAAAGCTATAGATTGCAGGGGTTAGCATGGCTTCCCAGATTGTTGTGCTATGGCCAAAGTAATAGATGCCTCCTGCTTTTCAGTTCCATATTTTTAAGAAGGGATGAATTGTTTAATTGACTCGAGAGGAAAAACATATGGAAATTCATTAAGAATTCAGCTGCAGCAATCAGTGAAAGTTTTGTTTGTACTTGGAAGGGTTTATCTAGATTTAGCAGTGCTAGATGTGAGGGAGGCCAAAGAAATATTGGACAGTTGCAGCTTACTGTGGATATGACCTTAGGTAGGAGGTTGTGGAGGACACATTAGGGTAGAAGGTTAGTAGGTAGTAGAGCGTTGTCTCACTTATCCTTCAATACTAGTAGTAGTGGTATTTCTCCTGTAATTTCTTGCCCTTCGAGTTTTGTTACTGTCTACTGGCTCTTGTACTTCGATTATCAAAGTATTTAGTTGTAGTTACTGTTCTTTTTGTTCAAAATGCTTTGTCATGCTTTCTATGGTATTTTGCCATAGTTTCTTCACTTCCATTATTTATGTTTTGGTCTGCTTTGATATGCTTTTCCTTGAGCTGAGGATCTATTGGAAACAACCTCTCAAGGGAGGTGTAAGGTCTGCGTACACTCTAGTCTCTCCAGATCCCACTTGTGGGATTACATTGAGAAAGTGAATCTTTTCAAGTGTGATTTTATGGCATTCCATCCTAGTACCTGGATCAACTTGCTTGGTTGTTATGCAGGTGGGTATGCAGAGACGCTTATCGTGCAACAAAACAGAAAAGCAGAAGGTGAAAAAATGAAGCAGTGGGCTGAAACAGCTTGGACAAATCGCAGATTGTCACTCGCGGAGGCACTAGAGTCATCCGAGTCATCAACCAAAGTGTCTGTCATAGATAGTCGAATAAGCCGAGTCCTGTAGTTGTTTCCTTCCTTAACATATTTCCATCGAAAAGTTTAAGGCACATTACGTTCATCAACTCACAAGTATCTATATACTTTTTGTAGATATGATATGCTCTAAACACCAGAAGAGATTTCGAAATTTTCTTGAATAATGAATGTATCACTGTTGTACATTACTGAATGTTGATGAAGAAATTAAAGATATACAACATTTAGAGAGGAATATCAAGGCCTTTTCCAATTTCTACACCAATCATTTCAAGTATTCCCTTGTTGAAAAACTGAAAAATGCAACACACAAAGATTACAATATAGTAATTAATCAATTAAAACCAAATATTCAAAGGTATAAAAGATGTATAGTTACCAATTCCACAATAAATGTACCAATAAGACCAATCATACAAGCTCTAGAGTTCCATATCTCAGCAGTCTTTGTAAAACCCAAAAGGGGTCTGCTTAACTTTGGTACTTCCTTTGGCAATTCCACCTACACAATACAAGTTACATTTATAAACACTTTTTTTTTTTTCCACCCGATGTCTGGTACCCATATTGAAGCTCGACTAAATCTAAATTCCCGCAAGAAAATCCCACATTGGGGGGTTAAAGTTCTCCCTAACAAAGGCGACTCCGGTGTCGGGTACCCACATTTACAAACATTTTGAAACATCATTTTGTAACTATGGTCCGCTTTTATCTACCACTTCAATAAATAAATAAAAAAACATAGTTATATATGTGAAAACAAGTTTTGGGTGTTTTTCAAATTTCAAATACAATTTCAAGTTATATTTGATACTTTTATAGTCAAACGTTGATTTTCAAATAAAGTGAATTTTCATGGCCTAATGAATCCTAAGATGTCACCTACCTAGTTTCTTCCGACTCCACCTTACTACAGTGATGAAATCAGAAATTTAAATAAGGGGATTAAAAAAAAAGTCTAACACCAATAGGATTTAACAACTTATGTATATCCTAAAAAAAGTCACCCTCCCCCCCCCTATTTATATATGTAATTCCCTTTGTCTCTATTTATGTTGTGCAATTCAGATTTGGAAAGTCAAACTGTTTACTTTGATCATGAATTCCAACATGAAATAATCTTTTAAGTTTTTTTCAATAATAAAATTTTCATCTTTAGAAACAACATAAAAAGTAATATAAGTCGATATTTCAAGATACATAAAAAAAAATTACAATCAAAGAAAAACCATGATAAAGCACATACCCCAGCTGGAACCTTTGCAGCCTGAATGTTGAAGGAGGTCCTTTTGGTAATTTTCAAGTTGGGATTATTAGGCAGAAAAAAATGGTGATTTTGAGAAAATTTTGCAGAAAGTGTTGTTGAGAGAAAGGAAGATGAGAGTGAAGCCATTGTTAATCACAAAAAATGAACAAATATTTTTAGCCATTGTGTTGTTTTTGTGTTACCTTATCAACAAATTATTTTGTGGTCTCCAAAATTCTAATAACTTTTCAATGAGTGAGTGGGTTCCACTCCTACCATATTATGTGACCTCCTTCACACCTCATATATTTCTTACTTTTAATTTTTGGTTAATAATTTGATGTATAAATGCATTTTTTAACTCATTTTTAGTTGATATATGTGTTCCAATTTTGAATGTACATAAATAATGTTTATTTATGTAAAGTTAAATAATTAGACATATGTGTCTGATATTATAAGTGGTACGATGCGAATGATCATATTGTGTCTATTTGTTGAACTTTGTCTATTTATATACCCCTAAAGTTAAGAGGTTTTAGATGCCACTTATTGAGTTGGTTTCTATTGGTTTCATAAACAAAGTTATTTTCTTTTAAATTTTAATAAACTTATTTTCAAAGTCTTAACCAATCAAATATAGAAAATTTGAAAGACATTTTCTTCCATATTAAATACATCCTATATATAGGGTTGGATAGCAATTTGATTGTTTAGTTATTGATAAATTTTCTAATTTCTAGTTTTTTATAATATCTGATTTAGTAATGGTAAGTTTTTTTTTTTTTTAGGTATTGTTCAATTAATTTTGTTTTTTTGTTTATTAGTTATTATATTTTCATTACTGTTTTGTTTTCTTTACACCTAAAATTGTTGCACCTAAGCTAAGAGTTTCTTGGAAACAACTTTATATATTTTCACGAGCTAAAGATAAGGTCTACATACATTATATTCTTCTTATTCCCTAGACCTCACATGTAAAACTTCACTGAATATGTAGTTGTTATGAATATTCGTAAATTTATCATTATTACTAACCGTTCAACCGTCAATTTTTCATCAAAAATGAAAAAAGATTTAATTTAAGAAGACGAAAATGAAACACGTAGTATGTAATATAGGGGTCACGTAGCCATATCTACAACTACAGCCCGCGCTATAAAATTGCTCACGTTCCCCTTCTTCCCATGCATGCAATTATTTAATACAAATAATATTTTTTTAATTAATTAATAAATAAAAACAAAAAAAAATCCTTATTTAATTTGAGTGTATATATATATATATATATATATATATTTATGTCTTCTATATTATTCAAATACAATAGAAAACTAAATTCCTATTTATTTTTGTTTTGGCTGATTTTCTTTAATTAAACTTAGTAAATTAGTTAATACACTTTAATAAAAATTTGTTGTAGGTGATATTACAAAGAGTATATTTTGTTTTCTTATACTATGATTTTGTACAAAAACTATATATGCTACAAACTTATAAGATTTTATGGATTGTTACAAATAAAAGCCACTAAATTATGTTTTTGTAATAAAAAAGTAAAAACCACTCAAGTTTACTTAGTTATCACGAAAGTCACTACACTATTATTTTTAACAAAAAAATTGCTTAATTATTCCTAAATATTCACATAATATAACTAGGAGGAAACAAAAACTTAATTAGCTTAAGCTGAATGACTTTTAATTTATAAAAAAATGATTCGGTGACTTATTCTGATTTTTATCTAGGCAAAGTTATAATTGAATGTTTTTTTAGTGACTTTTTATGATATTTGAGTAAAGTTCAAAAAATCTTCTGCTATTATAAACTAATTAATTTTAATCCGAAAATTAAATAATCTTATCCTGCATTCCATAAAAGACACTAATAAATATAGGATGAGAAAATAACAATCGTTAATTAAAATTAGTGTTGCTAAAAGCTTCGCTATTTAGCAATAGAACACTAATAATAATAATAATAATTAATCTTGATCCTCACCCAAACTTCTAGCTAGTACAACAACATAAAATTAACAAACAACATTTTTAGAATCGATCAAATTTGATAAATTCGTTCTCGAAAATAAAAAATTCAACCACTTGACGTCTATCCGACGCGTTCGTCAACGTTCCCTTTTACGTTTATTAGCATTAGAAATGTAATTGAAGTCCCCTTGAGGAATATCACACAAGTCATGTTGATCCATTGTCAATACAGTTACTGGACTTGGAGGGCCATAATTAAAAACTCCACTTGTTATGATCAATTCTTGAAATTCATTAATCAAGAATTGTTTATTTATCATCATTCTTTGACACTTGCTTATATCATCCTAAATTAGAAGAAAAAAAATGGTAATCAATTAATATGTGAAATTATCAAACAACAATAATGAAGTTCTTAGTTAAGTATAAAACTCGATCCCTTTGTCACATATTAGTTGATTACCTTCCTTTTTACACGCACATTATGAAATTATAAATACAAGGGTAGTTTTACCAATTCCCAGTTTTGAAACTTTACTTAATATGAGAAAAAAATTAATGCTTTCTTATTTTAGTAAGGTGATCAACTAATATGAGACAGATGTACTACTCCTTAATTTCCACATGATGTGACAATTAATTTTTATAGAGTCAAAAGAGGTTTTCTTAATACATGTTTTTTGCAAAGTATTTTTAATTATAGTATGGCTTATAGTGCCTTTTATCTAGCTTCTAGATTTAATTATATTTTCAAATTCGTATCGAATATTAGTTAATTTAATTCACATACTTGAGTATATATGACATAAGTTAAAATAAAGAAATTATTATTTTCTAATTTATTTCTTTTTTAAAAAAGGATTGTGTAAATATTTACCTTTTGATCTTGAGGTATGAGCCTAGTAAAATTATTGAAACAAGAGTCATCTATTAATAGAGACAAATCTTCAGAAATGCATGTAACAACAGATTGTGCAATCACACAAGGCCTGAACTCCAAGAATTTAGCATCTGTCAACATATAAATGTTAATCGGTCTGTCAGTACATATAAATTAAATTCATTCAAAAAAAATGAAGAAGAGTTTTAAGTGGTTGATTTCTCATATGACCAATCAACTAACCGTTATTATCTCAGAAATTCACTTAGATAATTATAAGTCGATTCGAGTTTTAAGTGGTGTTTTTTTTACCTAAAAGAATTCGAAGAAGTAGGTCATTGACAGTTTTGAGTGAATTAATACTCCATTGAAATAATTCAATATATGAATATGGTGTTGTAGAATTTAATCTCCATCCTAAAGTCTCCAATAATGTCAATTCCATACGTTGAATCATTGTTGATTCAAACAAATGTCCAACTCCTTCCATCTGCAAATATCATCAAACAACAACAACAATTAATAACATAATCAGTATAATTTCACGAAAATAGTCTGTCGAGAATAATGTATACGTAGACTTACACCTATCATACGAGAATAAAAAAAATTATTTCTGATTGACACTCGAGTTAATCTATCTATCAATAATGATAATATATATATATATATATATATAAACTACCTGTAATTCAAGCAATTGAGGGGGACTTGTTTCATGAAATTTAGAGGCCACAGACAAACATGCAATTGAGAGTAACTCAAACATCCAATATTTCCATCCCTACAAAAAAAAAATTGTGTAATATAAAATTTGATCAATTAACTCGAATTCAATTGTTTTTTTAAAAAAATAAAATATATTTCTTAAAAAAAACTTAATATAAATTAATATTGTTACCTGGCACTTGTTTAA